AAAGTTTTGAAATATTTTTGTAGCAGTGACATATCACAGAAGTCTGGATCCAAAACATCGTTGCTCTAGCTCTTATAGACTTTGAGCACTAGGCGCTGAAAGGGGACGGACAGACGGACAGACGGACAGACGGACGGACGGACAGACAGACAGGGCTCAATCGACTCGGCTATTGATGCTGATCAAGAATATATATACTTTACTGAAGAACGTTGACTTGAGTACTCATAGCGACAGCTCGTTTTGCGTCGCAGCCGAGATGAAACCGAGAGCCGGGCTTATTACCGGCGCCACTGTCAAGGTCAAGTGCTTAGAAGCGTACGTCCCGGTCCGCTCAGATAAGAGAGTGGAGTGAAGTAGAGTGCTAAAAGTAGAGTTATAGACTATGTAGCATACTATGTGGGCATGGAGGACATTTTACTACCCATTTAGAGCTCTGGCAAATGGTCGAGATAAGAATTTATATAAAAAAAAATCGCGTACGAGTAGGAAAAGGATACTAGGAAACGGGATACAGGGGGTCAAAGGGACAGATCAGCATGGATACGTAAACGAAGAAGATCACCGGTCAGATCTTTGTCGGCTGCGGTATAGCTCATTGGCGAGAACGCCCACCCTACCATAATCCTTCAGGGCCGCCTATTAACAGTCAGGATCCCTTCAAATAAGCCTGCTATTCGATATTGTCTTACATTTATAGGGTATTACTATACAGCATATACTGGGGAAGGAATATCATAAGGGCGAGGTAGGGTATAATGATCTTAAATCTATAAAACTGATTAGTAGTAGGTATATATAAATGCACGAGCATGTATAAAACCGTGATTATGGTTGAAGACCAACGAATAGTTACCGCACATTCATTCTTTTCAGATGGGGGTTAAATCGGTGGTACTGGCACGTGTCCGGGAATAACCAATCCGTAACTTCTAGACCAGCGTTGTAATACGTAGATACTAGTGGTGCTAATTCTACGCGGAAAAACCAGGAATTTTTCAACGGGTCTCTGTAGCTGGGAGGATAATTACCTCAACAGAATTACACCACTGATCGAAAAATTTTACTGAACTGTGGGCGTTCGTTTTCCAAATGGTCGAACGGCTGCCCCAGTATTGACGATATATAACTGGCGCGTCCACTCAAATTAAATGATCACTTTGAGCCGCACTTGGCACTTGCACTAGGCTTTGACTTTGGCTTGACCTTGGTTTAGAGAACTGGGTCAGCTCTACAAGACTTCTTTTTCCACGGCCGGTCACTCTGACGGTCACGAGGAGAGAAATAAAGAGGCTGGGACTACTAAAAACAGCAACCCACGTTTTTCCACACTTTCTATGGTCTTCTTCAACTCGAATTTTTTTACGGCCTAGTTTTAGGCTGTAATTTTGGGAGTTAGCCGTGGATAATTAAAATACAAGAAGACACGATAAGCGTCGAATATTACACCCCCCGCTGAAATCACAGTTTGGGGTCTTGCTAACCAAAGCGTGATCCACACTTTTAGTGCTGGATACGATTTATTGTTTAATATCATTTGCGTGATATTTACCAATAAAGCGACCCTGGAAATCATTTCTTAATGCGGGCTTTCCGAAACGTAGGTGCCAGTTTCGCATCAATGCCTTTCACAAAACTACTCTGGTCAAAATTTCGTCTATACACTTCTTGACCCACTTGAAAGTTTACTTCTCGGCTTCGAAGATTATAGATATTTTCATTGCGAACATGCTGCTGTTTCATTGCTTCTGCAGCGGTCTTGCGAATTAGCTCGAAGGAATCGTCGCGATCGAAGACTACTGTTCGGTTCTCCAACATACTGAGGTTTCGTAGGAGTTGATTAGTGGAACCGCCAGTAATCATGTTTTGGCCAAAAGCAACAGGATATGGGCTACTTTTGATGGATGCATGCACACTGGATTGATCGGGCTTAATGTACGCTTTGATAGCAGCGAGTACCGAGCGATTTACCCGCTCTGAGGTATTGGTTTGGGGAGCGTAGGCGGCGGTGTACGAATGTCGAATTTGGAATTTCGCTAACAGATCCTTGAACTTGTGTGACTTGAATTGAACGCCGTTATCTGACACTATCACTTCCGGGACTCCAAAGCAATGAAACAGGTCTTCCTCCATGAACCGAGTTACGGCACCCGCAGTAAATTTCTTTACCACTTTTAGGAAAGGAAATTTAGAAAAATGATCGAGTACTACAAAAATGCCTATATTCCCGGATCGACTTCGGGGGTACGGACCTAGAAAATCGACGTAAAGTTTTTGAAATAGACGAAAGGTCTCCCCTGCTTTGCCCATTGGCGGACGTAGAGGATGATTGGGATGCTCGGTCGTTCCTATTCGAGGAAGTCGATCAGCTGTACTCTTCGTCGCCCAAAAAAAGCATAACGTCTAATTCGTTAATTTCCTTCATGTTTTGCTATTCAAAAAAAATTCGCTTCAGCAGCGATCAAATACAAAAAAAACGAAGGGGATCGTTGTGAGTTGCTGCGGACACCGCAACTCTACAGTTATACCCGATACTAAGTCAGTATGGCTCTCCTCCGGCAGACGCCGCTAATATTAAACGACACGACATAGAGTGCGTGCGAGAGAGACAGAAAATCAGTCTGAGCGTGACGTCGGGCGCTGCGTAGCCAGTGCAAATTGATTTGTTTCCTTTGGCTATAAAAATGATCTGATCTGATCTAGATTCAGCAATCTGATAGATATGGTCGTTCTCTATGATTCTGCGTTTTTAGTTTTCTCGAATCTGCAATATTGTGGATGCAACAGATTTTCGTCCTTTGTGTGGGCGGAAGGAGGTGGGGCGAAATTTTGAGATATACGTTTTATAGAGAGATCTAACAGGAGTGCGGATACTAAATTTGGTTACTCTAGCTTTAATAGTCTCTGAGATTTGTGAATATCCCCAGACTTGCATCCTTTGCGGGGGCGGAAGGGGGTGTGGCGAAATTTTGAAATAAACTCGTCTCGGTCCGATATATTAGGAGTATGGATACCAAATTTGGTTGCTCTAGCTTTTATAGTCTCTGAGATCTAGACGCTAATGTTTTACTCTAAGCAAAGCCGCCTATGCTACGTGTGTGTTAGAGAGAGACAGGGCGAGAAAAAATGAAAAAAAGCAGTGACATATCACAGAAGTCTGGATCCAAAACATCGTTGCTCTAGCTCTTATAGTCTTTGAGCATTAGGCGCTGAAGGGGACGGACAGACGAACAGACGGACGGACGGACAGACGGACAGACAGACATGCCTCAATCGACTCGGCTATTGATGCTGATCAAGAATATATATACTTTATGGGGTCGGAAACGATTCCTTCTGGACGTTACACACATCCACTTTTACCACAAATCTAATATACCCCAATACTCATTTTGAGTATCGGGTATAAAAAACATGTCAGCAACATATCTATTTGACATGTACTAAATGAAACATGGACTAATAGGCACCGTAATCTTGTTTGCGATAGCAGAGCACTTTGGCGGTCAAAGAGGTTACTTTTCACCACACCAGTCCACCGAGACACCACCCCCCCCAGACCCATTGAACGCTATGGGCCGCATTACAAATATTTTTGAGTACATTTATGTGTAGATCAAAGTGCATTCTATTAAATTAAACTATTCATGGGTGCCTACTATGCCGTTTTTCTCTGTGTGTATCCTCTGTTTTTATACCCGATACTCAAAATGAGTATTGGGGTATATTAGATTTGTGGTGAAAATGGATGTGTGTAACGTCCTGAAGGAATCGTTTCCGACCCCATAAAGTATATATATTCTTGATCAGCATCAATAGCCGAGTCGATTGAGCCATGTCTGTCTGTCCGTCCGTCCGTCTGTCCGTCTGTCCGTCCGTCCGTCTGTCCGTCTGTCCGTCCCCTTCAGCGCCTAATGCTCAAAGACTATAAGAGCCAGAGCAACGATGTTTTGGATCCAGACTTCTGTGATATGTCACTGCTACAAAAATATTTCAAAACTTTGCCCCGCCCACTTCCGCCCCCACAAAGGGCGAAAATCTGTGGCATCCACAATTTTAAAGATAAGATAAAACCAAAAATGCAGAATCGTAGAGAATGACCATATCTTATACACTGCGGAATCTGAATTGGATCGTATTATTATTATAGCCAGCATCAAGAAAACAATTTCATTTTTTCTCGCCCTGTCTCTCTCTAACACACACGTAGTATAGGCGGCTTTGCTTAGAGTAAAACATTAGCGCCTAGATCTCAGAGACTATAAAAGCTAGAGCAACCAAATTTGGTATCCACACTCCTAATATATCGGACCGAGACGAGTTTGTTTCAAAATTTCGCCACACCCCCTTCCGCCCCCGCAAAGAATGCAAATCTGGGGATATTCACAAATCTCAGAGACTATTAAAGCTAGAGTAACCAAATTTGGTATCCGCACTTCTGTTAGATCTCACTATAAAACGTATATCTTAAAATTTCGCCCCACCCCCGTCCGCCCCCACAAAGGACGAAAATCTGTTGCATCCACAATATTGCAGATTCGAGAAAACTAAAAACGCAGAATCATAGATACCGACCATATCTATCAGATTGCTGAATCTGGATCAGATCAGATCATTTTTATAGCGAAAGGAAACAAATCAATTTGCAGTGGCTACGCAGCGCGTGACGTCACGCTCAGACTGATTTTCTGTCTCTCTCGCACGCACTCTTTGTCGTGTCGTTAAATATTAGCGGCGTCTGCCGGAGGAGAGCCATACTGACTTAGTATCGGGTATAACCGTAGAGTTGCGGTGTCCGCAGCAACTCACAACGTTCCCCCTCGTTAAATTTGTAATTTTCAGGGAACCAGCTTGGCCTTGGAAAACTCGTAACCTTGTGCTCGTACTTTACACCAGAGTATCAGTTCACTCTGCAACAACAGGCAATCAGAATTGTTGAATAAAGCACGCACACATACTGTAAAGCCAGGCCGAGGCTGCTGGCCGAAATACCCTTCAGAATGTCGAATGCCAACCCCAATGACAACAACAACGAGCAGCCCCCAGCCGCCAAGAGGCAGCGATTGTCAGATGTTGCAAGTAAAGATGAAAGTACTTTGAATGAGATTTCGACTACTATGGACAGCAGTGAGGGTGAGGTCGGCGGGTCCTCGGGTGGTGGCGTCTCCGATCTTCGTGAGCTACTGCATAACATACTGGTGTGCGTTGTGTGCCGCGAGGTTCCACAACCACACGACTTCTATCAGTGCAGCCATGGGCATATCATGTGTGAGGACTGCAAGACCGCCGTTCTGGCTGTTGCCATCTTCAATAAAACGCGTGCCTGCTGCCCAAGTTGTCGATCGCTCATTAGAAACTACGATCAGGAGCAGAATCTAGTGGTGCGCCAGACGCTCTGGGAGCTACCCATCAGCTGCCCCAGCTGCAATGACCAGTTCTCAGATAGGAAAGATCTCTCCAGACACTTGGAGTTCGTTTGTGAGGGGCGTGTGGTTTTCTGCAAGTACCACTGCGTGGGCTGTTCTTGGAAGGCCCCTACAAGGACAGCGTCTTACATGATTCCGACTGTGGGTTTCCCCAGAAGCAGGGAAAGGAGATCCTAGATATTCTGCTGCATGTCGAAGACAGGGAGCTTGAGGCCCAAAAGCCCGTGTTGAAGCTCCATCGGGTGCTGAGTGCTAGCCGGGTGGAATTTTTCACCTTGAGAATGAAGTGGATACACCACTCAGAGGGTTTACACCCACGGACCCTCGAATCTGAGGTAAGGTTTTGGAGAACCAGAACTCGTCTGCAGCATACCTCTGATGATCTCTTATCCCGATCCCCACAGACGATTCGTGCCTTTGAGGAGGATTGGGTGCTGCGTCTACGTCTGAAAAGAGCTGGGGAAAAAATCACCGTCAGCGGCCAGCTATTGCTTTCGACTACCCCACGAGTGTCCCTCATGGTTGACCATTTGATCCAGATGCCGCAGAGTGTCTGCAGCGCCAAGCAGCTGCACGACATACGCCCGCGTATCTACCGCCATATTTTCGATTCAACCGGCAAGTGCGCAAACCGCCAGGAGCTTCCCTTGGCGGGACCTCAGGCCCTGTACCGGCTATTTGCCATGACCCGGATCCAGCTCCGTTTGTGGATGTTTTTGCATTATTGAGCTGACGCTAAAAACCTTTAAATTGTAGTTTAAACCTTTATTGGGCACATCTTTTGATTTGATTTTTAAATTCGTTGCTTTAGAGCTGCATTTTTAGGGTTTGGGCGCCTTCTGGATCTGCTCGTTCACAGCAAGACCTTCTTCAGCAGCAGCCTTATCATGGAAGTCGTGCAGAAGCAATCGAGTAAATTAGGCATACGTTTTTGTCTCGTCTGTTAAGGTCGGCTAGTGTCGGCTAGACTTACCTTAACGCTATCCTCGTTGAAAAATTCCTTGACCTTTGCCAGCAGGTCGTTGAGCTGAGCCTCAACTGGCTTGGTGGGCTCCTCACGAGGCACGCGAGCACACATGCACACCTGAAAGCAGAGTTACAGTAAAACCACAATCAGTCAAAGCAATCTTGGCTATTTTTGGTTTTTAGTTTGTTTTACTGGTGCTGCTCTTTACTGAAGAACGTTGACTTGAGTACTCATAGCGACAGCTCGTTTTGCGTCGCAGCCGAGATGAAACCGAGAGCCGGGCTTATTACCGGCGCCACTATCAAGGTCAAGTGCTTAGAAGCGTACGTCCCGGTCCGCTCAGATAAGATAGTGGAGTGAAGTAGAGTGCTCAAAGTAGAGTTATAGACTATGTAGCATAGTCATGGAGCATCCTTCAGGGCCACCTATTAACAGTCAGGATCCCTTCAAATCAGCATGCTATTCGATATTGTCTTACATTTATTGGGTATTAATATACAGCATATACTGGGGAAGGAATATCATAAGGGCGAGGTAGGGTATAATGATCTTAAATCTATAAAACTGATTAGTAGTAGGTATATATAAATTCACGAGCATGTATAAAACCGTGATTATGGTTGAAGACCAACGAATAGTTACCGCACATTCATTCTTTTCAGATGGGGGTTAAACCGTGGTACGGGCACGTGGCCAATAGAGGTGTCCGGGAATAACCAATCCGTAACTTCTAGACCAGCGTTGTAATACGTAGATACTAGTGGTGCTAATCCTACGCGGAAAGAACAGGAATTTTTCAACGGGTCTCTGTAGCTGGGTGGATAATTACCTCAACAGAATTACACCACTGATCGAAAAATTTTACTGAACTGTGGGCGTTCGTTTTCCAAATGGTCGAACGGCTGCCCCAGTATTGACGATATATAACTGGCGCGTCCACTCAAATTAAATGATCACTTTGAGCCGCACTTGGCACTTGCACTAGGCTTTGACTTTGGCTTGACCTTGGTTTAGAGAAATGGGTCAGCTCTACAAGACTTCTTTTTCCACGGCCGGTCACTCTGACGGTCACGAGGAGAGAAATAAAGAGGCTGGGACTACTAAAAACAGCAACCCACGTTTTCCCACACTTTCTATGGTCTTCTTCTGTTATACAGGATCCAGACACAGCAATATTTAATAAAATATAGTGCACGGCAGAAAAATTGCATATCAAAGCGTTGCCGCTTGGTCGCAAAACAGCTGTTGATAAGCTTTATCAAAGCTCACAAGATCTTCAACTCGAATTTTTTTACGGCCTAGTTTTAGGCTGTAATTTTGGGAGTTAGCCGTGGATAATTAAAATACAAGAAGACACGATAAGCGTCGAATATTACACCCCCCGCTGAAATCACAGTTTGGGGTCTTGCTAACCAAAGCGTGATCCACACTTGGAGTGCTGGATACGATTTATTGTTTAATATCATTTGCGTGATATTTACCAATAAAGCGACCCTGGAAATCTTTTCTTAATGCGGGTTTTCCGAAACGTAGGTGCCAGTTTCGCATTAATGGCTTTCACAAAACTACTCTGGTCAAAATTTCGTCTATACACTTCTTGACCCACTTGAAAGTTTACTTCTCGGCTTCGAAGATTATAGATATTTTCATTGCGAACATGCTGCTGTTTCATTGCTTCTGCAGCGGTCTTGCGAATTAGCTCGAAGGAATCGTCGCGATCGAAGACTACTGTTCGGTCCTCCAACATACTGAGGTTTCGTAGGAGTTGATAAGTGGAACCGCCAGTAATCATGTTTTGGCCAAAAGCAACAGGATATGGGCTACTTTTGATGGCTGCATGCACACTGGATTGATCGGGCTTAATGTACGCTTTGATAGCAGCGAGTACCGAGCGCTTTACCCGCTCTGAGGCATTGGTTTGGGTATTTGGTATTTCGCTAACAGATCCTTGAACTTGTGTGACTTGAATTGAACGCCGTTATCTGACACTATCACTTCCGGGACTCCAAAGCAATGAAACAGGTCTTCCTCCATGAACCGAGTTACGGCATCCGCAGTAAATTTCTTTACCACTTTTAGGAAAGGAAATTTAGAAAAATGATCGAGTACTACAAAAATGCCTATATTCCCGGATCGACTTCGGGGGTACGGACCTAGAAAATCGACGTAAAGTTTTTGAAATAGACGAAAGGTCTCCCCTGCTTTGCCCATTGGCGGACGTAGAGGATGATTGGGGTGCTCGGTCGTTCCTATTCGAGGAAGTCGGTCAGCTGTACTCTTCGTCGCCCAAAAAAAGCATAACATCTAATTCGTTAATTTCCTTCCTGTTTTGCTACTCAAAAAAAAATTCGCTTCAGCAGCGATCAAATACACAACGAGGGGGAACGTTGTGAGTTGCTTCGGAGACCGCAACTCTACGGTTATACCCGATACTAAGTCAGTATGGCTCTCCTCCGGCAGGCGGCGTCTAATATTAAAGGACACGACAAAGAGTGCGTGCGAGAGAGACAGAAAATCAGTCTGAGCGTGACGTCGGGCGCTGCGTAGCCAATGCAAATTGATTTGTTCCTTTTGGCTACAAAAATTATCTGATCTGATCCAGATTCAGCAATCTGATAGATATGGTCATTATTTATGATTCTGCGTTTTTAGTTTTCTCGAATGTGCAATATTGTGGATGCAACAGATTTTCGTCCTTTGTGTGGGCGGAAGGGGGTGGGGCGAAATTTTGAGATATACGTTTTATAGTAAGATCTAACAGGAGTACGGACACTAAATTTGGTTACTCTAGCCTTAATACTCTCTGAGATTTGTGAATATCCCCAGATTTGCATCCTTTGCGGGGGCGGAAGGGGTGTGGCGAAATTTTGAAACAAACTCGTCTCGGTCTGATATATTACGAGTGTGGATACCAAATTTGGTTGCTCTAGCTTTTATAGTCTCTGAGATCTAGGCGCTAATGTTTTACTCTAAGCAAAGCCGCCTATGCTACGTGTGTGTTAGAGAGAGACAGGGCGAGAAAAAAGAAAAAATGAAATTGTTTTCTTGATGCTGGCTATAATAATAATACGATCCAATTCAGATTCTGCAGTCTAAAAGATATGGTCATTCTCTACGATTCTGCGTTTTTGGTTTTATAGTGCCATCTGTTTTAATGCTGATGACTAAGGCCAGATGGTCGGAGTCCAGATCCCAGCTCTGACTTATTGTTTCTCGAGAATCCGGAATACCATGATGTACTGCGAAGTCTATGCAGGACGGCGTGTGATTGAGTACATATGGGTACCTGGTTGGTGATCCAGTTGCAAGGATCTTAGCGCCAGTAGCAGAGATGGCTTCCGCTAGCTCTCGCCCCCTAGGGGAATTGTAAGTGTCTCCCCACAGCCAGTGTCGGGCATTCCAGTCACCACCAACCAAATACCTTTGCCCGCAAGCACGGAGTGCATCGATGTAATGTCTTTTCTCAATCCTGACTCTGGGAGGGCAGTAAATGGCGCTGAACTCCACATCGCCCAGTCCTGTGGCTACTTTTACTGCTGACATTTGCATGCTGCGTGTCTCAATGACCCTTTGTGGAAAATGACGAAGCGAAGTCTTAACTAAAACCGCAACTCCACCAACGCTATTATTATTCCGCGATGGCTTGAAGGCTGGATAGAAGGCATATCCATGTATTTTAACAGCTGCCCCTCTTTTAATTCTGATCTCCGTCAAAAGAAGAATGTCAACGCTATTCTTGTGCGCGAAGAGCTCAACCTCTTTTGCTTTCCGTGAAATGCCGTTAGCATTCCAGATGAGAACCTTTAGTGGGTTCATTGAGATGCTGAAACGTTGTTCTGGAGCTGAAGATTAGATCCAGCCCATTGCTTAATCGTGTTGGCCAATTCAAAAACCATTTTTTCAAGTTTTTCAAGGCGTTGATTGGCTTGACTATTATGCTGCTGCTGTTCTTGCTGCTGTTGCTGTAGCCACATAAGAAACTGCTGCTGCTGCTGCTGTTGGAGCTGTTGTTGACATTGTTGAAATTGTGTCTGCTGTTGTTGTAGCAGTGCCTGAACTTCATATGAATTCTGTTGCTGGTTATTCAATCCTTGTGGCTGATGCGCTTGTAGACTATGAAAACGACGTTGAGCAGGTGTAGCAGGTATTGCATTTGAATTACCATTTGCTACGGCAGCATAGGAGGGCCCTGTATTACTTCTAGTGCCTACCAAAGGTTGGTGCTGAGCAATATTTCGTTGGTGCTGCTGTATTGTTGGTCTATCAGCCCCCTTTTTGTGACTAGACTGCAAGGTAGGAAACTGTTGCTGGTCTCCAGAAAGTGTGGTAGAGTAAGCATATGCCACTTGATTATTTAAGGGGACATGACCCGTCCTGTGCGTATTAATTGCGTTCTTTGCGGAGTCTTGCCCGAAGGGCAGTGAATACAGTTGTAACGAGGGGGAACGTTGTGAGTTGCTGCGGACACCGCAACTCTACGGTTATACCCGATACTAAGTCAGTATGGCTCTCCTCCGGCAGACGCCGCTAATATTAAACGACACGACAAAGAGTGCGTGCGAGAGAGACAGAAAATCAGTCTGAGCGTGACGTCGGGCGCTGCGTAGCCACTGCAAATTGATTTGTTCCTTTTGGCTATAAAAATGATCTGATCCAGATTCAGCAACCTGATAGATATGGTCATTATTTATGATTCTGCGTTTTTAGTTTTCTCGAATGTGCAATATTGTGGATGCAACAGATTTTCGTCCTTTGTGTGGG